ATGTCCCCTTGTTTTGATCATCGGCATTCAAATGTAAATATTTGGATGATTAATATTTTTCGATTTGAAGCAGCTTGTATTCAAAGACTTGCACCAGTAGCTTTTGTACAGAATTATAGTGATTTATCTTGCACCATAGATTCTAGCTCTCAGCCTGAAAACAAGAATGGAAAAACAAATATGACTTGGACACAAGGACATGGATAATTTAATCATTGACACACTTGTTGAGTAGGTCAACATTGGAAACAAGGTTGACAAAAGTTTCAAATCACCGGCTTACACTACAGCGGCATGTGCTATTAGCACTAAGTTTTCAGTTGAATGTACTCTAGGACACATACGAAATAGGCTGAAAACAATCAAGCGGAATTTTGCAATATTAAAAAACCTTTTGAATCAAAGTGACTTTGCATGGAATGATTCAACCAAGACAATAAATGCAACACCTGATGTTTGGGCTACATATATTGAGGTAAAATAGATTAACAACACTTACTTTAAACACTTGATTTACAAATTATATGAAAGATGAGTTATTAGTACGAAAGGTGACTTATTATGGAACTCCCGTGGTAAATGAGCAGGCACATCCAGAGGCAAAGCAGTTTAGACGAAAAAACATTCCAAACTATGACCAATTGGCATTGTTATGTGGAAATGATCAAGTGACTAGAAATGGTGCCTTTATAGCCAAGGAGCTAAGTAAGCAAGATGCAATTTTTGCAACTTCCACTAGTGCAACACCGAATGTTGAGCATGTCTTTGATGACATTGATGAGGCTGAGAATTTTGGAGATCCTAACCTTCAAGCAAGGCCGGTGGAGACAAGTAGTTTTGCAGAAGGAAGAGTTTTAGGAAAACGGAAGTCATATGCTTCAATTGTTGCTGTACAAGTGCAAGACATTGCTACACATCTCGGGAAACTTGCATCTGCAATTGAGAGAGGGTTTGGTTTATTTAGCAAGGAAAAGGTGTATGCCGATGTTATGAGCCTAGAAGGATGTTTAGTGGCATTTTTGATGAAAGCATATGACTTCTTAGCTGAGTCTGAAAGTCGAGTTATGACATTTTATGGAGTGGAGCCATATTTGAGAAAGGCGTGGCTTCAAATGAAATTAGGGCCTCCATATTGAAGGGATGGATAAAAGACTTAAACTATTATAACTCACATTTATTAACAAACTAGGTACTAATTATATATGACAAAAACTTGTTTTGATGGTTGAGCCTTTGCATCCATTTTGTATATTTTTTGGGGATGCATTGGCAATTTGATGGTTGTCCCCTTTTTTTTGCAATGGTCAATCTACTTGTATTAGGTGGAATGAATGGTTATATTTTACTACAATGGATTTATTGGTATATGAATGATTATGATTACATGGAATGAATAGGTTGAACTATTGGCATGGATGAACTAATTACAGGTTAAAGACAAATTCAAATGATTTATTGATGTATGTATGACTTTTTGAATGAAATAGGTTATTGAATGCAACTTCTTTGATGTAACAGCAGGTCAAATAATAGAGCAATTTTAGTTTCTAATAGTTTCTTTTATGAATGCATGCACAGGTTTTTTATGGATGAGTACATTGAGTAGACCTATGAACAAATTCTATGATTAATGAGCAGGTCCAAATAATGAAGCATTTCTTACTCTTTTTAAGTAAAATTTTTGAATGAGCAAGTTTAATAACACTATCATGCCATGTGGCAAGTTCAACCGTATGTGTCATACATTTGGGGGGTGCAAGTTGTCATAAAAGTAAATTACATGCATTTTTATAGTTTAGCATGATTTTTCTCCTATAATTTTTCTTGCAAAACAAACACTTGAAAGTGGATTTTCTCAAAAAAAATTTCTCAACAAACAAACACATTATAACTAACTGAGAAAATAAATTTTCCTCTTCTCATCCCAACCTTTCTCATCCCATCCTTTCTCAGTCCAATTTTCTTAGCAATCAAATAGACCCTAATAGAATGTTCTTTAGTCAACTATGTTAGCTTAGTACAAGTGGTTGCAAACAAAGATGTAAGAAGATTTGGTATTGACTTCTACATTTTTCCCGATCTCTCATGTGATCCTACCACATCCTTGCCCTCTAAGTTCACTACCAGAGTTTCACTGGAAGCATCACCCCTCTGAGCCCTCAGTTCGGTAGACCTAGTGCTTTCCTCCAATGATGAGACAAAAGTTTAGTCATGCTTGGCACCACAAGTAGCAACCCTCCTCTACAGGACCTTCACCTCTGGAGGCCAAGAGGGGCTCTCTAAATCGGAGCTAGACTCACTGGTTATGGAATAAGATCTACTGGCTAGGTGGGGTCATATCAGGAAGGTCATAAGCCTCCCGATCGGAATCAGAAGTAGACATGATCAAGGATTAGATCTTACCTAAACAAGGATGAAGAATGGTGACTTTGAGAAAACGAATGCAAGAAGGCCGACCAAGGTGGTTTGGAAATGACACAAGCACAAATGACGGGTTCCCAGTCCCTCAACTCTTCCTTTTATAGGAAAATGGATGGTGTGGATCTTTTGCATCCAACAGTCACCATCACCTCGATTCAACTGTTCACGTTGATGACCACCATGTGGCACTAGACTTGATAACCAAAATGACCCCAAGAAGTCTGACCCTGGTTCATCCCCACCCACTAGGTCAAACCCCCTCGAACTGCCACTTCTGTGCATCCTGAACCGCAACCTTTATCAAAAGAGGAAGACATGGCGTGACGTCAAGCACAACCACCAAATCTCTCTACTCCCTTTGCTTGAAGTCGAGGTCTATATGCTTAAGCCGACATTGACCTCTGCCTCTGCCTCAGGAGTGGGGGCAAGTGATATAGGTAATACTGACCACTTCACCAACAAATGACACATGGCACGCCCCAGGGGTATTCTCATCATCTCAGCTTGATCTGAGAGCACCACTATCCTTTTCTATCATCATTAAGTGCATGGTCTTTATTGCGGACATTACGATCTCGGCTAAGCCCTCCTCAACACATTTATGGTAGGGTAATGCTTGGCCGTGTGGATCACGCTCCCATTAACTCCAACAATCATGGCACTTGACTTACAGAGCTGTTACACAACACAATCATGCTCACACCCAGTTGATGCCGACTATATAAGGGACTCCATGGCCCCGGGTATCTCTCTTACACATTTGTGCACTCTCAACTACTCTTGCCTTACTGATACCTTAGCCTCCTTGAGCCCTTGGCTAACTTGACCATTGGAGTCCTTGCCCCTAAGACCACACCCCAGGGATTTTGATGTCTTTTGACTATTCGTAGGTGGGATCCCCAGCCTCATCACCTTAGAAGTGACGAAGCTGCCCTCATCACTGGATTTGGCAGCATCACATGTGTATATATTATAGAATATACTATATATTATAAAAAATATCATATAATATATAATATACAAATATGTTTATTTTCGAGCTTTCTAGCCAAACTCAAACTCATTAAATATTTAAGCGAACTGAACTCGAACCAAAAAATATAGCTCAAGTCAAACTTGAACCTAGTAGTATTTTAATCGATCGCACTCGTAGTTTTGCATACCCCATCCTTGACTTCAAACTCAAATACCCCACCTTATAATCACCCCATATCCCAATGGGACTAGAAATCCCAACTCCATTCCCATCTTCATGGGTGTGTGTAATAGAGAGAGAGAGAGAGAGAGAGATTAGGGCGAGGTTAAGGGCAGGGTGGTTATTTTAGGTTTCCCCAAACTCATCCGATTTTTTTTTTTTTTATAATTTCTTTTAAAGGGCTAAATAATGGGAGTAACCCATCCCCAATCCAGGTGTATGCAGGATTCGATCCCAAGTCTATATAATAGGGGTTTCCCCAAAAGACCTTATTACCAACCTGCTGGTTGGCACCTTGCCCCGATTAATAGTCATAAAAATGAAAACTCCGCATAACTAGGGCGGGGCGGGGCGGGTCCGAACCCCAAATCTCGATTACCATATCCTGTTTTTTTAGTGAACGGTGTATCATTAAAGAGGTTGCCAATTCCTTAATGACTGATGGTTAAGTTGGATCAATTACCATGTCTCAAATATTTTAATTAATAATTAATTAACTAATCAATACAACCAATAAGTAACAAAACAGACACAGTACGTGTACTTCGGCCATTATTAGGGAGAAGGCTTTTATGCAGTAATTTTCGTGCTTATAAGAAGGGGCCCACTTGAACATCCAATAACTCATGTTTGGTAAAAAAAAAAAAAAAAAAAAAAAAAATCACTGGATACCCAAATTTAGATATGGCTCTCTGCACAAGCCCTCCCAAACGGGGCCCTTAAACAGAAAGACCGTCTAGCATAGAGAAAGGCGCCCAGGCCCCAGGGCTATACCCAGAACAAAACCCCTACGCATTGACTTTTGGTTTCTTCTGTTCTTGAGGTAAATAAAACCCTTGACTTCAGTTAATTCTATTATGTAAATCCTTGACTAGCAAAAACGAAATAAAAATCCGAAAACATAAGAATTCAAAAGGGGATATGAAATCCATTCAATAAAGAAACTAGAAACTATTAAATTGTTTCCCAACGGAAACCTCAACCTTGCATGTGAGGAGCATGGAACTATGGAAGGAAGGATGAATAAGCTAAGCTATTCATCCACGATTCTATCTGAAAATTCTGATCACATAAAATAAAAACAAAAATTTAAATTCAGATCGATCCTCGAGAAGTGATGGACGGTGGAAGATGGGGAGTTGAAACCAAACCGCCTCTCACCTCCCCCCTGCCCACATTAATTGTCAACCAAATTGGACAGCTTTGACTGATTAGATTATTGGTGATAATGGGGACAACCTGGTACAGTGGTAATCTCTCTCTCTCTTTCTCTGTAGTTACATGATGAAATGAGAAATGCACGTAGAAGAAGAAGAGTGAACAGGAGAAGGAAGGGAGGTATTAAATAGAACCCACCAATATCTACCAGCACCCATTAATGAAAACTTAACAACTTTTATAGATTTGATCGGTAAAGACTCGGCCGAAAAGAAAAGGAATGAATAAAATAAGAGAAGAAAATCACACTCATTAATATTCCATCTCTCTCTTCTTAATCTCACAGAGATCGGTGGGAGGTCGGCAGTTGATATGGTTTGATCTGTCAAGAAAGGAGAGGAGGAGGAGGAGGAGGAAGAAGAAGAAGAAGAAGAGTCGGAGAAGCAAGTTGTAGTGTTTGTTGATCAGATATCACACCAAAAGCATACCCACAAGCATTTTGCATGTTTTCTTCACTTAATATTCCTTACTACAATCTCGCTCAAACTCACACATCACCCATTTCTACACTTTCAGGTTTTTCACATCTTTCTTGCACCATTTCTTCTTCTGCTATCCTGAGTTTGATTTAATCATTTAATCCCTTCTTGGGTTCTTCTCTTCTCTCTTTTGTTTTTCCTCGCTTAACTGAATCTTGTATAGCTCTAGCTCTACTTCTGAATACCCACCCATTTTGAGTTTCTTTCTCTTTTGTTTATCTCTTTTCGGATGTATAGAGACTGAAGAAAGAAAATGTCGGACATGAGGAACTCTGCAAATCAGGTTATGATGGAAATAGAGGCAGGAAAGCCTCAGGGTAATGGAATGGTGGCAGGAGGTCTGAGCCCTCTGAGTGAGTTCTTGTGGAGGGAGAAGGCCGAGACAGAATTTCTGGGTGATGTCTCAGCAAAGCTCACCTGGAAGGATCTGACGGTGACTGTCTCACTACCAAACGGAGAGGCCCAAAAGGTTTTGGAGGGGCTCACCGGCTATGCCGTGCCAGGCACCCTTACAGCTCTCATGGGGCCATCAGGCTCAGGGAAATCAACCCTCCTTGATGCTCTCTCTAGTCGTTTGGCTGCCAATGCCTTTCTCTCAGGAAGCATTCTTCTTAACGGCAGAAAGACGAAGCTGTCGTTTGGAACGGCGGTGAGTGATTAAATCTTCAGTGCTTCTTCTTACTTGGACCTTTCTCCAATTACTCTGTTTCTCTCAATAATGGAATACTTTCAAATTTAGTCGGGCTGTTCTCTCTCTTTCTCTCTGGTCTCCCCTCTTTTTTTTTTTCTCTTTTCCCACTTGTTTTACTGAAAATTTTGATGGGTCTTTGTGTTTTCAATTTTTATTCACCATCTTGTATTGCAGACTGGTCTACTTTCAGTTCTTTTTTAATCTGTTTTTCTCTGTTTTTAAGTTACTGTGGTGGTCAGCAACATAATTCTATTCTTTCTCTCTACACCCTTTGTTTTTAATCAATCCTTTCCCGGATTTGTTTCTGTTAACTTCCCAATCTATTAGATGTAAATTAAGTTCTAAGTTTATATGAGATTACAACCATCAAACACTGCTTTTTCCATTGTTCCTCTCTGCTTCTATGTGATTTGCTAAAAAAGAATGTATGGTGAGATTTCAGGCGTATGTGACCCAAGATGACAACTTGATCGGCACTCTTACAGTTCGGGAAACGATTTTATACTCTGCTCGCCTCCGTCTTCCTGATAAGATGCCGTGGTCTGAGAAACAAGAGCTGGTTGAGAGCACCATCGTTGAAATGGGTCTTCAAGACTGTGCAGATACAGTGGTAGGGAACTGGCATTTACGTGGTATAAGCGGAGGAGAGAAGAGGAGGGTCAGTATTGCTCTCGAGATCTTGATGAGACCTAGATTGCTCTTCCTGGACGAGCCCACAAGTGGGCTTGATAGGTATGACTCCATTACTGACAAACTGAAACTTTTTTTAAGACCAGGAAAATGGAAAAGGGCCAAACAGCTTTGCTCCTTTTCTAGCTTTGTTGGTTAGACACAGCTAATTGGACCGTCATTTCTAGGTCGTCTATCTGCTTTTTTTTTTTTTTTGCATATTGGACTTGTTTTTTGTCTTCTTCAATCTAGTTTGGAAAACCCATCTTTTGTTTTCTTCTGGGTTGATGATATGGATTCTGCAGTGTTAAGAAAAAAAAAATAAAAATAGCTCAACCTATTATGAGTTCTAATCAGAATTTTGTGGACAGTGCCTCAGCCTTCTTTGTGACTCAGACTCTGCGTAGTCTATCTCGGGGTGGTCGGACTGTTATATGCTCAATTCACCAGCCCAGCAGTGAGGTTTTTGAGCTTTTTGATCGCTTGTACTTGCTCTCTGGAGGAAAGACTGTTTATTTTGGTCAGGCTTCAGACGCATACGAGGTGAGAACCCTGATGCTGGGTCTATTCTATTCTTGAGTCTCCTCTGCATTTGTCAACGAAAAAACAAAGAGATTTCTCACTTTGGATTTTACTGTCTGCAGTTCTTTGCACAAGCTGGCTTCCCTTGCCCAGCTCTGAGAAATCCATCTGATCATTTCCTGAGGTGCATAAACTCTGATTTTGATAAGGTCAAAGCCACCATGAAAGGATCCATGAAACTGCGGGTATGGGAAGCTCCTTCCTCATTACTGCTGTTGGATTTCCTTCCTTTGCCTAATTAGGAAAGGTCCTGCCATTAACTGACATACACTTTCTGGTTCTCTGGAATTGGCTTATATTCAGTTTGCAAGGACTGATGATCCTCTGGAGAAGATCACAACAGCAGAAGCTATAAGGACACTTATCAATTACTACAACACTTGTCAGTACAATTACTCAGCAAGAGAGAGAGTGGAGGAGATCTCCAAAGTTGTGAGTATTGTTCTACAAATTCTATTCATTGAACAAGGACCAATCAGACATATCTAAGCTCCCATTCGGTCATGTCATGGGCTGAAAATGATTATAATCATTTATTGTATCACATGCTTTGGATGTTCATACATTTAAACTGGTTACCTTCTCATGTGTTGCAGAAAGGAACTGTGCTAGACTCCGGAGGGAGTCAGGCTAGCTTCTTGATGCAAGCCTTCATGTTAACCAAGCGTTCATTTGTCAACATGTCAAGGGACTTTGGTTACTATTGGCTAAGGCTTGTGATCTACATTGTTGTGACTGTCTGTATTGGAACAATCTACTTGGATGTGGGGACAGGCTACAATTCCATTTTGGTATGATTTCTGTCTTTTGAGAGCTTCTAATGGCATCCCATTACCTGCAGGAGCTTCACTTCCTAATTCAGGGAATGTTCTTGCAAATGCACACTTATCTTGTTGAATTAAGAACTTGTTAGGAACTTAATGGTTTCTCTTTCATTAATTAATCTATCCTTGGAATAAACTAAATCTAAAGTCTAATGTCCCCACCAATTCAAATAGAACATCTCTTTTCAAATGGTCTAAGTAGGCAGAATTGTCCTTCAACCTTAAACTAGAAAGCTCTATGAGGAATTATGAGAAACAGATATGATCATATGGAGAAGATCTGTTTTAATGTAACCTCACATACCACAAGGAGAAGAATATGAAAATGAAAAGCTGTTGCAACGCAACATATGAAAGGCAAACAGAAATTTTCTGGGGAACAAATTTGGAATGTCATCACTCTACTCTACTGCTAACTCTTGATTTTTACTGAGATTCTGTGAAGCCATATATCTCAAACTGTACACTCATTCATTGCAAAAGTATGTAGCTTATTGTGATTACACTGAAACAGGCGAGAGGTTCTTGCGCTTCTTTTGTCTTTGGCTTTGTCACATTCATGTCAATTGGTGGGTTTCCTTCCTTTGTTGAAGATATGAAGGTGAGTCTGTTGATCCAATGCAGTCAGTCACCATGAGTACCTACCTTTCTTATACTGGTGACGGCTAAAATTCGGATTTCTTGATAACTGCAGGTTTTCCAGAGAGAACGGTTGAACGGTCACTATGGCGTGGCTGCATTTGTCATTGGAAATACACTCTCTGCACTTCCTTTCCTGATATTGATAACTTTTATCTCCGGAACCATCTGCTACTTCATGGTTCATCTCCATCCAGGGTTTATGCATTATCTCTTCTTTGTTCTCTGCCTCTATGCGAGTGTTACAGTAGTTGAGAGCTTGATGATGGCCATAGCCAGTGTCATCCCCAACTTCCTTATGGGAATTATCATTGGGGCAGGGATCCAGGTAAAGCTCCATTTGTTTCATGCCAACTTCCTTTAACTCAGCCCAGTTTACCTCATTTGGCCAGACTTGGGACTAACAATTTGAACCCAGAATTTGAAAACTTAGGATTTATGGGGATAATCAATTCTTTTCTTTCGTTTTAAGAACAGAAATCAATTTGATGATTTTGATGATTTGATGATGGTTTCTTTGTTTATGGACCAGGGAATTTTCATGCTAGTCTCTGGGTACTTCAGGCTCCCAAATGACATCCCAAAGCCCTTTTGGAGGTATCCCATGTCTTACATCAGTTTCCATTTTTGGGCTCTCCAGGTAAATACTTATTAATAGGATATCATCACTGGAATGAATCTACAATCTAGTATGAACCTTAATAAATTAAGCATCACATTCTGCTCTAACTGCTGCTGCTGTTCTTGTTCAGGGTCAATACCAAAATGATCTCAAGGGCTTGCTTTTTGACAACCAGTCACCTGACCTCCCCAAGATCCCTGGCGAGTATATTCTGGAGAATGTGTTCCAGATTGATGTGAAGCGATCAAAATGGATAGATCTCAGTGTTCTCTTCAGCATGATCATCATTTACCGTGTAATCTTCTTCATATTGATCAAGGTGAACGAGGACGTCACCCCCTGGGTGAGAGGATACATAGCTAGGAGAAGGTTGCAGCAGAAGACAAACGGCAATCCCAGAGCAATGCCGGATCGCCTCACTCAGTCACCTTCCCTCAGGAGTTACACCGTCAACCAAGCAGACAGACTCTAGTACTGTGTTAGCACAGAATACAGCCAGAAGAGAGAAAGAGAGAGAGAGAGAGAGAGCCTTCCATCAAATTAGTCTATATTACATTTGCTAAAGCCAGATGGATAGAGAGAGACAGAAAAAAGAAAACTGAAAAAGTGTGTGTTCTTACAGTTCCATGTAATAAAATCCAGTCTATCTCTTTGAATTCAGATAGAGAGATGGTGGGTTTGATGGGAAGATCAGTAAATACAGATACTGTTGATAAACAGTCTTCAAACTAGAAGTAGATGGTATCCTTCTGCAACCTCTTTTACTTGTACTTGTTTGCTAAGCAAGTTTTCTTTCTTTTTATTTTCTTTTTTTTTTTTTTTTTTTCTGGTGGGTTAACTGGCAAATCTTGTTTTCTTTCTTTTATATATTTAGTAAAATATTTATACATTCAATAGAGTTGGTTGGCCAATTTGCTGGAGTAGTTGTTTTTTCAAACTGAAGTAGAAGTAGATAGTTTCTAAGTGTGGGCTGTCACATGAAAATCTGTTTGGAGTAATTAATTTCACGAGGGGTGGATGAACATAAATATAGGCAGAAAGGCAAAGAATTGGAGTTTACATCTGCCCTCCCCACAGAGAGTTCACATCTGCGCCCCACAGCACATCCTGTCGTGTATTGGGAACATCTCCCAATGATGGCATCATTGGTTTTGGTACCATCATCAGGAGATATTTTCAATACGTGGCGGGGATGTGATGTGGGACTTTGTGGGGCGCGGATCTGAATTCTCCACAGGACGTGCCCCAAAAATTCCTCACATGTACATCTCAACATGCATTGAGAACGTTTCTTATATTTGTCATTGGGAGATGTTCCCAATATATGGTTGGGATGTGCTGTGGGATGTTTTTGAGGCACATTCTGTAAGAGCCTCTTACAACCATGTATTAGGAATATCTCTATGCTTGTATCATTTTATTTGGGGAGATATTCCCAATGCACAGCTGCAAGTGGCTGTGAGGACGGTATAAGCATGATCTTGTGAGAACTGAATCCGAGTTTCAAAGAATCCCATCATCACTACTCATCACGTGTGGGCGGGCATTTGCAGCCATGTTTGCAGTGTTTCCATTGAAAAAAATGGCTGTCTAATAAACAGCCAGAGCTGTCAACAAGCCTCTCTCCCACGGCAAGTTAGTTCACACAATTTTTTTATGGAGCAGTCAGTATCCATGCTTGTATTAAGAATCATTGATTTATACAATTAAATATTATATTTAATTAGCTACCGTATATCGGATCATGACTGACTTCCTCTAAATCAGAATTCTATCTGAACATGCAATGCATGTGCATCTCTCACTCTATTGTCTACCTGTAGTAGGAGAAAACATGCCATCGGTGAAGCATCTCACATTCGAGCAACGTGAACTACTTGAAACCACAGGGCTCTTACTATGTGACGTGTTAATTGACATATGAATTCGTTGCACAGATTTCACATCTCTCCCCCCCACAGAATGCATCCTAAAAACGGACTCCGGATTTTATGTCCACGAGAACTCTATTCATGTCTATCCACAACACATTATTTCCATGAATTGGAAACATCTCCCCCTGCATAGAAGGATGAGATATTCTTTATGTGTTATTGCAATGTTATGTGGGTTGACATGGGCAGGAGATCCAGACTCCCAAAAATGCCCCAGGTGCATTGAGAACATCTCCTATACTTGTCATTAGGAGATATACCCAATACAGGGTTGGGATGTGCTGTGGGACATTTTTGGGGCGCTTTCTGTAGGGGCAGATATGAATTCAAGAGTGCAAACCACATTTGCTAGACACTGTCAGAAGGTTGACTCAAATAATAAAATCAAACTGTGATTTATTGATATGACCCCACCATGAATTAAATGAATTGACATCTTGGTAGAGAAACAGATCTGCTACTCACAGAGTGCATCTCACACCAACTTCACAGGAACATCCCACCATGTATTGGGAACATCTCCCATACTCATGTGTTATTATTCATGAGAGATGTTCTCAATATACAGGGGGATGTGCCTGTGAGGTCGGTGTGAGGTGCGTTGTATGAAGAGTGTGGGGTACATCAATAAATCAAAGGCCTTGATTTTTTGTTTTAGCTCTACAATAGGATAGGCCACTCTTTAGCAAAATTAAGCTAATAAGAGTGGCGTACATCATGGTTCGGTTAACCGAACTATGGGCTTATTTTTGAAACTGAATTGGGATTACCGATTTTTGGAAAACCGGTAATCGAAACCGAACCGAAGCTTATTGATTAATCAAATGACCATTTTGGTTCGTTTGTTTGTCAGTTTTTTATTATTTATAATATATATTATAAAAATATATAAATATATAATAAAACACTAGAAATATATATAATATTATATTTTAAATAATAAATAATATATTATATATTATAAATATATAATGCATATTTATTAATTTATAATGTATAGAAAATATAATATATATATATATATAATATGCATAAAATATATATAAATGTATGTATACCGATCAGTTCAATTAACTAAAATTTTTATTCGATTTTTTTGATAAATTCGATTTTTCTTTCTCACCCTTACGTGCATGGCTGTTGAACTAAAGTCATCATATGAATAAATCCTGTGACTAGCACAGGCTGTGGAAGGCGGACAGCCGAGTTTTCTCTGTAATGTTTTATGTCCTACCACCTTGGCTCAGTAGCTGTCCCATATTAGAGAATCCGTCCTAGCTGATAATCTCTCTCCATATGACAGACAACACAGGCTGTCAAACGTAGACATTTCCGGCTTGTTGTATTAACAGAACGGATGGGTTCCGGGCTGGGTACGAGTATGTTAGGCTGGGTTTGAGTTGAGATCAACTTGCACCTAATCTGATCTGTTGATGTCGATTGAACCCAAAAAATCTTCGGAGAAGTACGGAATTATAAATGGAGATTTAACAGAACGGATAGGTCAAATGTCGATTTCTGAATTTTATTGCAGAATTATAAACATTCAAAATAGTAACAATCCACACTCTTAGGCATCAACGCTCGCCCATGAATTGGTATCAATTTCGAGCTGGCATTTACCCCAACAGTACTCTGTGCTTATAAATTCTGACCCTCGGCTGAACTGTCTTTCTCCCAAAAATCTTTAATATTATTATGCAATTCTTCTATTTGTAAAAATATGTATATAAGATAGAGATAAATGGGTAAATTAGAGGAACCACCTACACTCGGGAAGAGGGGTGTAGAGATGGCAATTTTCCCATTTATTGGACTCCCATGGGACCTTCCCCAATGGGGATAATTTTCTCTATGGTGATAGGGATGGGAAAATGTTCATCCTTGTTAATGGGACAAGGCGGGGACAGGGAGAGTATTTTCTACCCCATGCCGATTCCTATTTCGTGGGGGATCTCCGTTTATATATATATATATATATGCATGTATATATATATATATCTATATATGAATATACGTATATTAATATTTTCAAAAATATAATTGAATATATTTGTACATATTTAGATCTTGTTTAATAGGATTGTAAATTTTACTATTTTATTTTTAATCTTTTAAATGAAATAAAAAATTAAAACAAAATAACTGATATCATAAAATAGTTAAATATCAATCACTACACCCCCTAGGGAATGGCAACAGCGCGGGGGGCGGGGGGCGGGGGGCGGGGACAGGGAGCCACTCCTTGTACTTATATATGCATATATTTAATGCCAAACCATTGAAGGTGTTAATGTGGAGTGCAAAATTACCAAATTGCCCATATAAAATTGTCTTAAAAGGGGTTGATGTGGTGGTGGTGATGGGGACAATGATAAAGGGGATCAAAAAGATGGAGAGGGTAACAAACCACACTATAATAATCCCTAAATAGAATCAAAAGATAAAAGTGGGTGATGAGTAATGAGAACTAATGATGAGAAGAAGGTGAGATGGTGCCTCGTAGTGAAAATAAAGTCCCCTGTTTGGGAGTCCCTTTTTAAGTGTTTAAAAAAATTTTAAAAGCATCTGAGAAAGCATTTTATTGGCATTTGGTAAAAATGCCCCAATAAGTACTTTTCAAGAGAATAAGCCCATTCTAAAGAAGCCCAAAATTTGGGCTATTTAATAAGCACTTATTCTGTTTTTTTTCTTGCCCATCTTAATCCCCACCTAATTATCAAAATATCTATACTACCCGTCATTTGAAAGAATCAATTTTTTACCAAACACTCATAAACTGCTTATTTAATAAACACTTATTTAAGAATTAAGCAGTCCCAAACATCACCTAAGAAGGAGGGCCAAAGGATAGATATAATAGATTAAAAGTGGTGTGTAGACATTGGGGCTTGGTTGGTAGTGAGGCTAGCTGGCTACAATGAAATAAGAAGAGGTGACCGACTTCATGGTGGCAATTAATAATTATGTGACAATTATTTTTAGGGTTTTTTGGACTGCAATCCCCCTCAGAAATCTAATTTGCAGCCCCTTCCTAGTCTATTAGTAGCCCCCTCTTATAAAAAACATCCTGCCCGTGAAATAAGAAGAGGTGACCGTAGATTGACGCTAAATTCACGGGTAGATTCAATCCATCCCTAGTCTACTAGTAGCTCCACCCAAGGGTGGACTGAATGGTAAAAGCACTTTTTTATGGGTCATTTACTAAAACACTCCCTTTCATAGATTTATTAAAACCTATCTTATAGTTTGAGATTTACTAAACACCTCCTATAGTTTGTGATGATGCCCAATCCGGCCACTCCTACCTGGAAGTGACGAGGCTTCTACCTGGCGACGGGCAAGAGATACCTGCAAGAAGGACAAAGGGACCCAGGGTTGAATACCCGGCGGGGACTCTCCGATGCTTAAGTTAGAACTTGGTTGTGAGTTAAGAGAGAATAAGTTTTGCAAGAAGATGAGAAAGCTAGAGAGTGGTGAATATGCGATACCTTTGCTTTTGAGGGGTCGGAGTGCCTATATGCTGACGTCTGACAGGTTCGGTGGGGTTGATCCCGAATCCCTGCTGTGGCGATCCGCTATTAGGTCGTACCTCGAAGTGGCTGGTCGTTACTATCAGGGCCGATAGCAGGCGGGCTACAGTGACCGTTGCATGGTACGGTCCCGCCAACCGGGAGACAACTTGCAGGCACGCCGCCGGCAAGTGGGAGACAGGGGCACAACCTTCTGAATTGGCAGGCACTGCGCCGTCAGACGAGAGACACGGGAGCAGTCTGGCAGGTACGACTTTGTCAGGTGAGAAACTTCCCGTGAAACGCCGAGC